GAAAAAGTTCAAAGACGAGCTTCAATTAGACTTGCCTTAAATCAAAGACGAGGGGAAATGTCATACGAGGAAAGATGCAAGAAGTTGGGCTGGCCGGATCTTTCCGCACGTCGGGATTATCTTAGCCTAATTTAATGTTATAAAATAGTGTTTGGTATCACCGATAATTTGAATTTCGGTGATCTGTTTGAAAAGTCGAAGTCATCACGCACTAGTGCCAATCATAGATATAAACTTTATGTAAAAATGGCTAAGATAATTTCATATAAGTACTCTTTCTTTGTTAGAATTATACGACTTTGGAACAATTTACCAAGTAGTATTGTAGAATCCGATGGCATTAGTGTGTTTAAAAACCGTTTGAAACAACACTTAATTATTAAAGAAACCGTTTGAACACCTTTCAAAAACTATTTGAACCAACATTTAACTAATTAATATGTATATATGTAAATATTATATATATTTATTACTAAAATTGTAAGAACTATATAGCACTATACTTATGTTAGAATTTTCCTTTGGAAGTTGTTATATATAGGATTAACCTCTCAACTTTCCATTAGGTCTATGTGTATGGCCTAAGAATAAATTTATGTTATGCTATCTTATGTTATGAACTTGTTACATCGTCAGGTGAGACCATGACATTTTGTTGGAAACGTTCGAGTGCTTGGAAACGGACTTGAAAATAGACCAAAACTTCTTTGTACTCGATCTCAGTGAGGCTGGGAGAAATTCAAAGAATTTCTCGCGTTTCGCGTAGATGATGGACTTTGTTTTACGTCGCAACTCCCCGCGATACTTTTCCAAGAGGCTGGAGCACGATTTCTGTTTGGCCGTTCTTCTGCAAGAGTCTTTCTTTTGAAGAAGATATTTAACTTCGCCGTTGATCCAAAAAGGAGTGGTACGCCTTTTGAATTTTTTTGCGGGATATGTTTGGCAGCAGCACCAAGAAACAAATCTTTCCATTTCGTCCAGTCAGCATCGATATCAGAGGAATCGCCCGGAGAAAGATCAAGATGGCTCAGAGTCTCGTGCAAAGCGTTCCAGTAAGCATGTTGAAAGTCAAACTCAGTTCTTCTGTCGCACCCGTTCGACTTGACGTAAAGTAGAAGGTCAAAGAACAACACATGATGATCGATATAGATGCCTATATTTGAAGGTTGAATGCATCCGATATTCTCGGAAGCGGATGTTAGGACGAGATCTAGAATGTTGACTTGGTTCAGAAAGAAATGTAGACTCAATTATTTGAATTCTGCAGATCCAGTAGATGGATTCGTATGTGACGAGTTCGATAAAAGAGTTGAGTTCCAAGTGAGGTCAGGGAAATTGAAATCACCAGTGATTAGGACTTTTCGCGTAATTTTCCGTTGTTTCAAGAAATGCCGTAAACAACGAACGATAGCCATTCGTGACTGTCACAACTAGGCAGTAATTCTGGTGTAAGGGACGTCATCACGCAGTTCTATGAAGATCCCACCTCCCCGTTGGTTACCTGATCGATCCTTCCTTACGATGTTGTAACGTTTGGAAAGAATCTCTTTGTCCGAAAAGTTCTCATTGAGCCATGATTCCGTCACAAAAATTAAATCGAGTTCCTCAGCGTCAACCATGTCTTGAAAAGATTTTAAATTGCTGGCGTATGACCCGTCAGGTAACTGTCTAGTGCTTCGAATACTCTGCCCATTGAATGAAAGACAACGAAGATGTTGATTGTTGGGCAGGTAGTAGAAATATTACCAGCAAGTACGATCACCAATAGCAGATGTATGCTCTTAAAGAGCAATCCGTAGCGGTGGTTGGTGGGCGATAATATTGACGCTACTGGGGAGCAAAGAGTGTTAGCATTGGATTTAAAGAGCCAATTGGGTATTTCATCTTGTCCAGGAGCTTTAATTTGTGGACATTATATATTAACGCGTTATAGACATCAGAGAAATTATGTATTCTTCTGGGACTGAGACCACTTCGACAGGGGTGAAATTTAATGGGGGAACGTCTTTGGCAACATTGCAGAACAATTTAGCGATGTGCTTAGTCAGTTCATGACCCATGAGGATCCGATCATTATGGTGGACACTGCATGGTAAAGTGTTGCTTATTTGATAATTCAGACAAACGCTTAATATTATTCCACTATTTCTTAGGGTTACACTGTTTAAAATGCTTCACTGTGAATGAATAAAATGATCGGCGAGCTCTCCTGCACAATTTGCTAGCATTTCTACGATAGAAGGTGTAATTAAAAAAATTACCTTTAACCCACGCACGTTGTCGTCTCTTTACAGCATCTTTAATATCAGGTGCTATTCAAGGTTTATCCATGAGCTAATTTTTAACATGTCGTAGTGGGAGGTGCTTATTCATATTTCTGGAGGTTTCATTCATGAAAACTCCAAGTTGTTCTTCAACTGCGTTAGCGCGGTATAAATGTGTCCAATTAAAGAATCCAGCAAGTGATTGTTTTTCTGATGGACAACATAACCGTTTTAAGGTTCTGGTACTTGGAAAAATTTTGCGGGGATTTTGACGGTTGGTTCAAGAAGGATGCAAGCGTGGTCATATTTGCCTACTGGAGGGAGGATTTTAGCTTTGTACGTCATAAAAGTTAATAAAGCCCCGTTTACACTACGCTCAATTTTTGGTACGGCACGGATAAAATTGGTACCCGTACCACTTTTTTGGTTCTTGGACTAAACGGTACCAAAAATTAAGCGTAGTGTAAACGGGCCTTAGCTACATAGGTAGTCCAAGAACGAAAAAAGTGGTACGGGTACCAATTTTATCCGTGCCGTACCAAAAATCGAGTGTAGTGTAAACGAGGCTTAAGTGATAAATAGATTTGATCGAGCGTGTTGGACCCGCGTGTTATGGAATGAACAAGTTACTTCAAATTACATGAGGTGCACACGCACCAGGATTGAATTGATTAGTAAAAACTCCAAGCAAAATAATTCCAGACTTGGATAAGTGTTTAGAGCTTTGTCAAGGTTTTGGTATATATTATTCCGCAGCAAGTAATCGTCGTTTCCAGAAAGATGGTAAATTGAAGCTACTGTAATTGAGTTATTCCTCTGGAAAGGCAATTAGGTTTAAGTAAAAACCATTGAGTTTAGAACTTTGGGTCGTCAATTAAGGTTTTGTAAAAGGAAATATCTAATATTATTTGCCAAAAATGTACATAGCCCCCCCCCCCCCCCTACCACCACCACCACCACGATGATTATCAGGACGATCCTCATGTGAGTGGTCGATGTGAGGTTTTAGCAAAATTTCACGCCTGGTTGCCGAGGTGCACGAAGTTCAAAAATGCAAAGAATCCCATATTATTTAAAATATATTCACTTTCGTTTTGTAGCTTTTACAAAACAATCGAATTAAAGTATATTTATATGCAGTCTCATATAACATGGTGATTTTGTTGTTCATCAGTTTACATGTACATGTTTCAAAAGTGAATGTTTAGCTATTTCTGACAAACATTTGTTCTTCCTGGTATACGATGTATTGTACGTCTTCTTAGAAGCAGCTTAATTAAGCAGCTTGTTTCAATTTCGCATTCCGTCTGGGCGAGGTAACACTTTATGTGATGATCAGTTTGAAAGCTGCTTTGTAGTGAACATTGCTTTATTGTAAGTATCCATATACATTAAACTTTAAAGTGGACATTTCAGTTGATACATGTTGTATTTTAATCAAAAAGCTAAATATTTACCAAATTCATTAATCATTCAACCTGAACTGCATGGCGTAACATTATTCCAAGGTTAATATCTAATTCATCTACTTGACAGTCAGATTAAACTTGAACAAATCAACAAATACCTATCTAAACATCAATACATGCAGTATGCAATTATTGCACTTTTTCGATCGTACAATTTGCTGATGGTCTGCAGAAGTAAGAGGGCAAATATATCTTGCTTGGGAGTATAATAAGTATACTTCCGACTTAAGTAACTAGCTACTTCCTTTATGTTCCTTCAAAATGCTATTCTGAATTTCAGAATTTTAATGAATTTCGTACAATTTTTTTTACAATTAGATAAGATATATACATAGACAATTAGATAAGATATATACAAAGATATTAGATAAGATACAAAGACAATTAGATAAGATATATACATAATATTATTGAAAAAAGAAGCTAGGGAAAAAATATAATACATATTGCACGCAGTGATCAAAGTAGCAATAAGCTTTCGAGTTGATCACTGCCTCATTAAATGATTTTAGAGAAAGTTTAACAAGATATATATATATATATATATATATATATATATATATATATATATATATATATATATATATATATATATATATATATATATATATATATATATGACAAATTAAATACAATATCATTGCCTCAAGGAATTAGAAGGGGTGTGTTTGTGAAATAATTAGGAATTGAGTATATCTTATACTCAATCACTCCTATATAAGTAAACAAAGTATATCTTATACTCAATTCGTAGTGAACAAAGAAAATCCCTTCCCCGGTAAATGTTTACGAGTTTATTTTACATGATTTATTAATTTAGTAAGGTATACAATAAAGTTATTGAGTGCGACATATACCGTATTTACTCGATTGAGCGATATGTCCCCGATTGAGCGCCGCCCCCGAATGAGCGCCGCATTTAATGTTATACTGTATTTATATTATGCAACAAGCAATTTAAAATAAAATCACCAACAATTCAAACCGGTTGGTAAATCGCCAACGAATTAGGACAAGGTCAAGGACAAGTTTAATTCACAGGAATGACATTATATTTGCTGCCTACTGCTATCCTCTATGCAAAATGGTTTCTAGCAAGTGCACAAACCTTGATCTGCCACGAAAGTTTATCTGCTATATATACATATACACTGATTCGAAATATTGAGATAATGCAGGAATTGTTCAAAAGTATTGTACTGTAGCATCTCTCTTCGCTTCTACACATTAAGTTTTTCTTTTCTAGCATTCTGCCACGTTCATAGCTATGCCACTAAAAGGATTTCTAAGTAAACTTGGAAGACGAAAGAGCCCAGGCTTGTTTTCTTCGGGACTTCCTAGTCACGATGAATGCAAAGAAGAGCACAAGAAAATCTTCCGTCCTACTCTGGACACACTGGTAAGAAAATTTGCTACAAAAAGGAGGCTCTTTGATCAGAATTATCCTTTAAACATCTTGGCATTCTTAGAGGATATTGGTTTTTTTAAAGAACTTAGATCTACTTATCCAAACGTAGAACTGAGTATAGATATGCAAGATAATTCCCTAAATGCAAAATTATGTCTGAAGGGACGGGGCGAGGAGTTTGATGCTGCTTGTAACAAATTATTTTGGAAACTGGGAGAAATTACTAAAAGTGCCTTACCATTTGACGACAGAAGAATATGGGATGCGATAGCGGATACTCGAGTGCAGGAACATATCAAGAGTGTTTTAACTTTAAAGAATATTAGGGCACAGGTTTGTCAACTTATTATCAATTATTTTAAACTATACATTCACTCAATGTCTCTTTTCGCATTTTTCATTTATACACTAGCTTAATATAGGCCTACTCTTACTTCTAAATCTGCTTTATTTTCATTGCTTTACAGCACTGTAAACACTTGCTTCACTATACACTACACTGCACACCGGCAACTCTACCCACTCCGCTCTGCTCCACTTCACTTTACTCCACCGTTTCGCTCCACCATGTTAGATTAATGCTTTACTTTGCTTCATCCAATCCTCTTCTTTCATCATTTTCACTCAACTCCAGTTTCCACAATGCCACTGACCTAGTCCATTCAGATTTTCCCCGATATACTCTACTCTGTTGCTATCCACTCATCCTCTGTTCCAATCATGCACCTCCACTTCCTTGCTTATTGCTCGTTCTCTCTCCTCTTAATTCCAACTCATTCCTGTCCTCAGTTAATTTATTTTGCTCAATTACACATCTTAATTAATTCTCTAACCTAAGTGCACTTTAATTTAGAGTAGTTATAAATAATACCTCTGCACACATTTAAACATTTGGGGCTTTCTTTGTCTTTGGCGGAGCCTCAGCTTCGTTAAGTAAAAAAAATGCCCCTCTGTAACCCCTAGCCTGCATCCACTGTACATTTATTGCTGGAATCTCTTGTATAGTGACTAGCATGTAAGCATTCGCCACGTTTTTATAGGATGTACGTTTTTGGTTCAAAATTTCGTATGCAAAATTTTGAAGCAACATTTCTGACACTACTTCAGATTGTTATATACAGCTATTTCATTTTTAAAGCCTGCCATATAGTCATTTGTACTTTCCCAGTGCGAACAGCAAGTTGAGTATACCTAAAATTTTAGCTATTTAATTAGGTAGATTGCGACCATAGCTCCTTTTTGCTTCGGAAATTCCCAGAGGTTTATATCAGTGTACTTAGTAAGAAGCTGCGTGTCAGAAGCTGCTTAGTAAGAAGCTACGTGTCCTATTATTTCTGTCAAGAAAAGATGCAGTTCCCCAAAAGTCTGGTTGTCAACTTAAAACCACAGTTTTGCTATACCAACTACCAAACAGTTGATTTGATGAACTGTATGACTTGTAAATATACAACTAATAAATGTGATAATGCATGCATGCTCACCACTTGGTAATTCCACGAAGCGATTTCAATTAAATTAAATTAATAAATTAAACTGTATACATTTCACCCTCTACAATTTACTTTATTAAAATATCCCCTTCCCATTATACTCAGGGGCGTAGGAAGCATCAAAAGATTGGGAGGGCACCGGCTTCTAGGGGCACTTTAGGCTATTGAAAAGGGCACCTAAAAAACTTTTTCCGGAAATGTTGGCGACGGGGGGGGGGGGAAGAGGAAGAGAAAAATTTTCCCGTCGTACCATACCGATATTGCACGTTTTTGACCAAATTTTTTTAAAAAAACTTGGAAATTTCCAAACAAAAAGGGCACCTTTGGTGTTAATTTAGTATTTACAGCGACATTAGCTTGCACAAAAAGGGCACTTTTCATCACAAAAAAGGGCACTTTTCATCACAAAAAAGGGCACTTATAGTCCTTTGATAAAAAATTGGGGGGGGGGGCACGTGCCCCCGTGCCCCACCGGTTCCTACGCCCCTGATTATACTCTTCGCACTTGGATTGTACATTTGACTATAGCTTGAGACACTGTTAATTGAAACAGATGTACAACTACCTAGCTCTGTATAAGGCGAAAACTCAGAAAAATGTCAGTTTTACAATAGAATCTATAGTCTTTCACTCCTCAAGTGGGGCCATTCAACATGGCGCCCGGTCTCAAAACATGACGTACTTCCGGCTTCAAACTGGCTTCACTTTTCGATTGGGCCTTCTATTACGATGCTCTATCCTGTCTTAGTGTATATCAGTGCCCTAGATCCGCCCCTGCCTAACTATAATGTCTTACTAAAATCCATTGCAAATCTATATATTTGTCTGTGACTGTTCCCGAACCATTCATGCATACTGATATTGTCGATATTCATATGCCGTTTGTGTGATACTAATAACTTACTGACCGAGAGTGAGGGCAGTACGGGAAAATATCCAACCGAGGTCTTGCTGTATTGACCGAGCGATAGCGAGGTCAATACGGCAAGACCGAGGTTGACTTGGATATTTTCCTGTACTACCTGAACGGTTGAGGTCAGTAAGTTTTTTATTATATGGCATTGTATGTTTGTAAAAAATGGAAAAAAGGAAAGGTCACGCGAGGGCAAAGTACAAAGTCCGAAACGGTTTGCAAAAAAAACAATTGTAAAAAATCAGTTCTCTTGGTTAGTAAAACTACTCTACAGTAATTTTTATATAGAATACTAACACATTTTGGATAGTATTTCAAGAAAAATACGAGGTATTTCGTCATTTAATCCTTTACAAAGACAACAAATATGAAAACAATAAAATTAATAAACAGTATGGACAAGTACGTTTTTAATTTGCTTCGTCTCATAAATATGTCTCTTTTTATCGAAAAAACCCATAAATTTTCAGGAAAAAAATATAAATCTGTGGCTGCTTTAGTTGTATTTTTATTTAGGATGGTGTCAAATTCCTCGGCTAACTGCAAACAAGATTTTCAGCTCTTCACAAAGTCAAAACACAGCTATTCCTGATTTCTTTAATAGTTATAAACATTGTAAAATTTATGTATCGATCAATTCGAAACTTCACCATCCTCCCCCCGGGCCCCCCGGGAATTTGAACTTTTTGAAATTTGACTGATAAAATTCTCCACCCCCTGTGCAAAAAATGTCTTCAAATACCCCACCTTCATATGTAAATTATGAAACAGTAAATTCAAAAAGTACAAAATATAGGGAAATGTTTTTCGACATGATAGCGAAATTCACGTAAAAAGTTTGTATACCTTGTGGAAATTTAACAGTTTTACACAATTATGCAGTTAATGAAAAAACAGCGAAAGTACAACAGCAGGAAAAACCACGCTCCTTGTCAACTGTCGGTCGAAAAGCACGCTCGTGCCAGTCCTTTTTCGCATTACACATCGCTCAGCGCGAACATGAGCGCGTTAATTGCACCGCCCTATACAATCACCCTAATATCCCTGTTTCTCACTATAGCTGTAGTATTATTCTCGCTGTATTATTAAGGCGCTTACAAAGACAATTTGTTGTTATAGAATGTGTTTTTTATTTTGATATACTTAAATGTTATATTTAATTTGATATATATGGCAAAATATAAGATCTCCACCAGTATATTGAAATCTCGACTCAATATTTTGCCATGGTCAATAATTTATCGTATTAGTAGAAAGCCAAACAGATTGTAGAATACCTAATATCCGGTTGCTAATTGGCTATACCATATTTATTTATTCTTTATAATTTGCATTCAATGCAGGTTTGCGCAGGTGACACAGGAAACTTGGTTATTATCACTGCTATGAATAACATCGAGTTACGGAAAGCAAAAGATCTTTTGCTCGACCTAATCGAGATAAAGACGGTTTCAATTCCGGAGGACGTAGATCGGCATTCCGAAAGTGGAAATATTAAGAAGTTTCTGACAAAGCAAGAGGGAAGTCTACCCATAAAGATATACTTTCACCCTTCAAACGTGCTGGTGCAAATTGTTGGTGTGGCAGAAGCTGTTACAAAAGCAATATCTACATTCCGACAGTTCTTCGAATCGATGCGAATCAAGAGGCAATTTTTTATTGGGAATCGTAAGCTTACACCAGATGTTTGGACGTTTTTAGAAATGCATTTCGATGAAATTAAAAAAGCAAAGGAAGAAAAGTTCTTAAACCTCAAGGTCTCTGTCAAGTTGGAAAAACAACCTTCTGGCAACCATCAAATTTCCATGACAGGAACTGAAGAAAGCTTTCCTGCATGTAATAATATACTAGAGGAATTAATTATGGAGATCACACAAAAAGATGAACTAATTGAATTTCCCGGACTACAGAAGCTGTTTGATGCACAGATTGGTAAACACGAGCTGGAAAGAATTGGAAAAAATTGCAAAGTTTATATTAAAGTCCAACCTAGTGCTGCGATCCCAAGATCCGCGACTGTTTCATCCCATAGTACACAAAGTGGTTATGAGCGGTATAATATTACTACGAAAGAAGGAGTGCAATTGTCTTGCAAGATTGGAAGAATCGAAAATGAAAAGGTTAGTTAATAATTAAGAAAAAGTGTTGAAGAGTTTTTTCTACATGAATCTCGAGCATCTTAGACCTAACCTCGTTCTGAGTTGCAAAAAGCGAAACTAGTATGCTTTATTCGACTCACAACTGCTCTAGCTAAAATTGTTTGTAACGTTTTCACTCGAAATTCCCATCGTACGCGTCAAAAAATCAGAGAGACGCGGAGAACAGAGAGACGCAGAGATCAGAGAGACGCAGGGCGAGAGTGTGCCGCGGCTGAAGGGAGGTCAGCCGGTCGGTCGGTCGGTCGGTCGGTCGGTCAGTCAAATCTTTATTTAAGCACGGTAGCTTACCAAAAATTAGTTATCTACATTAATAATTTTAAAAAAATTTTCAAGCCCATGTTACATTAATATTTATATTTATACCTGTTTTCCATGAATGCCGTGTCTATCGAATATGATATTTCAACAATTGTCGAAATTCGGTAAGAGATTCCACTTGTTTTATATTGCTAGGTAAGCTGTTCCATAACACCGCACCACTATAGCTAAAGCTATTTTTAAGATAATTGATGCGGGGTACAGGAGCAGCAAGTTTGTTCACGGAATCTCGAAGTATATGAGGAGTTACATTATTGCGATTAGTAAATTTAAAACATAGATATTCGGGTGCAAGGTTATTTAAAGATTTGAAAACCATCAACGCTTTTTGAAATTGGCGTTGTTGGTTTAGATCATCCCACCCTAGCTTTTCCAATAAGCTATTGGTATCGCCGTCAAAGTTGGAAAAGGTCAACACCCGCATTGCACGGTGTTGTACTGAACTCTTGGATACTTTATTTACTTAAAACAACCCGTTTACAAACTATCTTTTACTCTATATCGAGTCCGTATTCAAAACCACTGTTGTTGTCTTTTACCTTAAATCCCATACACCAAAAGGTGATTTGTCCCGATAACAGTCCGATCGTAATATAAACAAATGTAACACAACATATAACATCTCTTTCCAACTACAATAATAGTCCAACCCCCCTTAAGTTTCGTAGTCTTCTAAATAACTTGGCCTCCGTGTTGACCGTCGTGGTCTTTGCCCTTTCTCAGTGCTTTCATCCGGCGTCTCCTGTTGGTTCCCCCTGTTTTCGTTCTCCGTCTCTCCGTCACTCTCGTCTGATGCGTCCTGGTCATCTTCGTTATCTGCACGCGTATCAGATGCAATCTTCCGGAAGTACGACGCGTCCCTCGTGATGGTCCACGTGCCGTTTATCTCCCGTGCAGTTATTCTCGAGCCTTGAACCTCGGTGATTCTCAGAGGTGTAGGGTTGAATGTCGGCGTCAGCTTGTTGACTTTCGTCTGCTTCACAATAACACTGTCACCTACCCGAAGTTTATGTGGCCGCAGTCCGTTTCTCATCTTGGCTTTGTATCGTTGGTCTCGTATACGGTCTATAACATGGTCGGTTGGTGTCATAAGTGGAAGTACTGTCCTCATTTCTCTTTCGCCATGCAATGCAGCATGCGGGCTGACCCCGGTCGCGCAGTGTGGGGTAGATCGGTACATCTGCAAGAATCTTCCCTTCCATGGTTTCTGCCTGCAGGGCTTCTTTCATACTCCGATTAAATCGCTCAACTGTTCCGTTTGCTCTGGGCCATTCCGGAATAATGTGGTGATGGCGGTATCCGCTGCTTTGGGCAAACTGTTCCATCTCTTTTGATTGGATAGGCGAGCCATTGTCCGACTGGCATACCGCTGGAACACCTTTGTTGGTGAATATCTTCTCCATGGCTGCGATTGTGGTGTTCCCATTAGGTGCATTTCGGAACCAGGCCATCTCCGGCCATCGACTGTAACGATCAATCATGATGAATATATATTCGTCGTTGGGGTAAGGGCCTTGGAAGTCCATTTCCACATACTGCCATGGGCCAATTGGTTGCTCCGACGGTTTGATTGGCTGGTCGTTATTTGGTGGTTGGACAGCTTGGCACGGTAAGCAACCTCGTACCTGGTTTTCGACGGCCTTGTCCATCCCAGGGAACCAGCAGAATGTCCGTAGAAAATGCTTTGCCTTGCTAATTCCTTGATGTGCGCGGTGGCTCAATTCAACAACACGTTTTTGTAGAGCGATAGGGACGACAACACGTGATCCCCGACAAACCACACCGTTGACCACACTCAAGTCGTGTTTGATTTTCGGGACCATGTAAGGTTTTAGGTCCTCGTCATTGTCGCTTATTCCCGACTTGATTGCTTTAACAAGTCTCTGGTAGACTTCGCATCTTTCTCCTTCAGCCCTAATGTCCTCCACCGTCACTGTTCCTTGTTCATTAAGGGCGTGGCAGCACCCGCTCTCAACAACGCTCTCCGCTCCTGCTTCGATCTCAAACACTCGACTTGATCCTGCTCGATCAACATGATGTCGTGACATGTTGTAATCGGCGATGCATGTCTTTCCCGGACGGTAGACGATCTCGTACTCAAACTCTTGCACGTCCATAAAAAAGTTCTCGACTCTTGGGGGTAGCTCCCTGCATAACTTGTGGAACATATAGGTTAGTGGACGGTGGTCGGTAACGATGCGGAATTTTGGTGCACCGAGCAAATACTTTCGTAGCTTTCTGCATGCCCAGCGCACGGCTAGTGCCTCTCGCTCTGTCGCGGAGTATCTGGTTTCAACCTCTTTCAGTGAGCGCGACTTGTACATAACCGGGTGGAAGGCCTCAGTTTTCGATGCTCGCTGGACAAGAACTGCCCCCAGACCCGTGATACTGGTGTCTACAACTAGTTCGGTGTCATGTCCGATTACATAATGGTGTAGTAGTGAAAATTCGCTTAACGAGGCTTGCAACTTGGTGAATGCTTCTTGGCACTTTTCGTCCCACGCCCAGATGTTCTCCTTAAGCTGTTGCCGCAGAGGGTGGACAATACTCGCGAAGTTCGGAATGAAACGTTCACTAAACCCTGCCATCCCGAGGAAGGAACGCAGCTCCACTTTACTTGTGGGTTGACTTGCATCTTGTAGATTCTTTACATTCTTTGGGTCGGGTTTTATGCCCTGCTTGTTGAACACGAGCCCGACGAATCGCACCTCCTCGACATCAAAGACACACTTATCAGGATTCACGGTGATACCATTACTCGTTAAGGCTGACCGGACTTTTTGCAGGGCTGCATCATGCTCTTCGACTGACCCGCCAATCAAGATATCATCCGCTATGTTCACCTGGCTTGGGATACCGGACAGCATCTTGTGCATCTCCAACTGGAGGATATCCTGGGCAGATTTGGTTCCATAATTGAGCCTTTTGTAGCGGTAGAGGCCATCAGGGCCATAGAAAGTGGTGATTTTACGCGACTGTTCGTCGAGGACAAACTGGTGGTATGCTTCTTTGAGGTCCAGTTTAGTGAAGCGTTCTGCTCCTTGAAATTTGTTTACAATATCAGCCATTGTTGGTATCTGCGTATACGGGCGTTGTATGGCTTTGTTGGCCATGCGCATATCGATGCAGAAACGAATGTCGTTGGAATCTGGTTTGGGAGCAATCACCGGAGGGCTGACCCAACTGCGTGGCTGGTTATCTGGAACTCGTTCTATGATGTCTTGGTCCAGGAGGTCTTGGATCTTGCTTTCTGCCCGGTCTGAGAGATTGACTGGTATCCGTCTCTGTTTCTGGACCACTGGTGTGACACTGTTATCGATCATCAGGGACACCTCATTCGTTTTGGCTTTGCCAATCTTACCCGTGAACACCTCGGGGTTATCCATAATCATGTCAGTTATCTTTTGGCGCCTAGTCATTGCCAAAACTTTCTTGCAGGCAGGGGCGTAGGAAGCACCTGGAGTTTGGGGGGGCACCGGCTTGTAGGGGCACATTACTATCGGAAAGGGCACCTAAAAAATTTTTCCCGGAAATGTTGTCGACGTGGGGGGGGGGGAGAAATCCCCCCTGACGAAAATTTTCCGTCGTATCATACCGAAATTTATGTTTGTGACCTAATTTTTAAAAAAAATTTGTAAATTTCCACACAAAAACGGCACCTATTGTTTTAATTTAGTATTTACAGCGACATTAGCTTCTACAAAAGGGGCACTTTTCCTCACAAAAAAGGGCACTTTTCAACACAAAAAGGGCACTTTTTATCACAAAAAAGGGCACTTTTAGTCCTTTAAAAAAATTTGGGGGGGCACGTGCCCCCCGTGCTCGCCCGCTTCCTACGCCCCTGCTTGCAGGGCTCAGACACTCGCTTTACTAGGAACTTCTCATTATACCGGATCAATTGGAGCTGTTTGGCCGACTGTTCGGAAAGTAGTGGATAGGCGGATGGTTCAGATGTCACATATATCTCAGTGTCGACTGTCCGATCCCCAGCTGTCAGCACTGCCTTGAATGAACCGATGACCACCAGTGGTGTCTTGCCCCCATATGCAAATAGCTTGATGTTTGTCGGTGTCAACTTTACTTCCCCCCGAGTCTTTTCTTTAAAGCTGCGGAAGTGTGCCTCATCCCAGACGTTCTTTTGGATCCCGGTATCCGGTTGCCACAGAACTTCTTGGTCGTTAGTGCGGACTCTCATCAGCGATGGCTTTTCCCTCATCCCAAGGTTGTTAACTAATTCGATCTTGGCTGTGTTATACTCATCAGTGTCGGAGTTGGTGTCGTTTCCGGTGTCAGTTTGGGGTTCTGCTTCGATGCGCTTGATTCCTGCTTCCTTCTGTTTCTTGAAGCACTTGCTAGCATAGTGTCCTTTCTTTTTACAGTAATTGCAGATTCTGGATATGGCTGGGCACTCCGAAGCAGGGAAATGGTTCTCGTGTCCACATCGATTGCACTGGTCTGTGGTCTCCTTCTGTTGTAACGGTTGATTTCATTTGGCACCCACCTTGTTGACTACCTGTTGAGAGTCCCTGTCTATTACTTTACTTCGGGCCACAGCATCTTCCTTCTTTCTAGCGATATCTAAGACTTGGTCCAGTGTTCTGTCCTTCTGTAAAAATTTTAGGCGAAGGGTGTCATCTTGCATATTGCTGATGATCAGGCTTTTGATAATTTTCTCCGCCGACCAATTTGTAAAATCGCACTTGCTCGCTGCTTTACGTAGCCTCATCGCATAACTTTTAATACTTTCTGACGATTCGATTTTCATTCGGAGTAATTCAAAGATAGCAAAGTCGTTGCACTGTTTTGGTGAAAAATGTATTTTCAATTTGGTTTTAGATTGCTCATACGCGGTCCAGTTTTCTTCCTCTGTGCCTTCTGGTCTGCTTGGTTCTGGCAGAGTGTCGTGCAGGTCTTCCACCTCGGTGCCTGCGTATATTAACAGCGCCATTTTGGCTATTTCTGGTGTTTTACTAGGATCACATCCGTTATACTTGAGGTCTCTCTCAAA